GCAAAGGGACCGTTAATGTCTCAAAGGAACCACTATTGACATCTTAGTGCTTTTGGAAGGATCTATTGGAGAGACAAAAATGCCTGTCTGTGAAAAAAATGCTCATCCTTGCAGGTTGCCAGTAAGTGTGCTGGGATGTCAAGATCCCTCACCTTTGGAGGTGGACCAGTGGATTAGTCAGTGGATTCAAATGGGAAGGAGGCTGAAGTGGGAATATTTGAGCTGAGTAAGTTTCAAATATAAATAACAATCGTGCACTTTTTATCCCCTTAACCATTGAATGGGGGTTTGGTATTATTAAGTATCTGACAGAGGGTGGTAAATTACATGAGGCTGGGGGAAAATACTACATTTCACAAGCGCTGTACTACAGTTTAATAAGGAGAGATTCTTTGGAAGAATTAAACATGATTCATTGATAGAATTCAAAATTCAGTTATTTGGCAATTAGACTCAGATGACCCATCATAGCAGAGCAGAATCCAGCACTAGGCATTAGGACAGGACACCCAGAAGTCTAGATGCTGGTGGTTGGTGGTGAAGATGAAGATGGAGGCTCGGCTGGAGCTTAAGAAATCACAGTCTGGAAAGGAGAATGACGTAAGAGCACTGAAATTTAACATACGCAGAGTGGAGGCTGATTGGCTCAAAGAAGGTGGGCAAGAGGGTGATTGGACTAGAGGGATGATGTCAGCACTGAGTTTGACAGCGTGGCAAACAGGAAGTGATATAAAGCATAAGGTTCATGTAAAAAAAATCACAAAAGTCCAGAACCGGTAAAATTTTAGCCAATGACAACATTTATAGCCCACATTCATTTATTATACCTATCACAGTATAGGCCCTTGAAATACACATGCACCACAGGTCACACTGTGAGACGTACAATACAGACAATCAATAAGAACTGAAAATTCAAACTGATCTCTCTTCACAAACTCATCTGAAGTTTAAAACAACCCCTGTTTGGGTGCTGCAGGTGTAGCAGATGCAGCACACTGGGCTGAATGCACTCCTTAATGAATGAATTTCAATGACTAGCTACAGCCCACAGTGACGCTTTGCAACAGAAAGGGGCGCCCCCTGCTGTAAGGAGTCAGCGCCTCAATTAGCGACCCAGAGGTTTCCTTCTTTACTGTCCAGTTGATGTGGGACCTTATTGCTCCACATTTCAGAGATGGATTAGGTTAATGGACCCCGCATTGACCCGCCTTCCCTCTGAGGGGTGCAGATATTACACAGCTGCTCCTTTTTTGGGGCCCTTAAATATAGATGGCTCCGTTTGCACTTTCTCTCAATTAAAGCTATATTGTTTTACAATAAAGAGTCCCCCGAGAAACCATATTTGCTAGTTTTCAGCCAAAGGTCATTAAATACTATAATACCTGGCGTAATCATGGCTGCATGAATATTGGGTTCATAATCTCTTGATATTGATTATCCTTCACTGTAACACTTGTGTCAGGCAGGGGACTTTGCATGCAGTTTATTTTTGCTTGGATATTTTTATATCTTTATATTACTTTAAGTTGTTGAGGTTAAGAATTAACATGATGATAAATGGAGCATTTGGAGGTTTTGATTTTTTTTTTCCATCAGTGTCCCTTTAAGGCCACGCCCTCTGCACAGTCAGCAAATTGTTTGCCACAGCCACAGGTTTCTCTGTAATATCAGAACAGGAAGTCCAATTTAGACAAGCAATGGTAGACAGCACGAAACTCTTAAAACAGTCTGTAAAAAATATAATGCAAACCAGGGGTAAGAGGTGTGGATGAGTAGTAGTAATCTGACTGTGCCACAGGAAAAGAAGAAGAAGAAGAAGAAGAAGAAGTTGTTAGCCTGTCAAAATACTTTGCTTTCTTGTGTGCTAAGTTCAAATGATTCATTGGTGCTTTTACCCTAAAGCTACAGGTGCAGGTTTTTAGCATCTTTCATGCAGTCCTTAAAAAAGCCAAATGTGTGAAAGAATACATTGTGCTGGGTTTGTCTTCCTGCTCTCTGGGTAAGGTGTAGCTGACCAGAAGCAGGAGGACAGTGCTGGACCAAAGCTACAGGAGTCTGGTAAGATTTGCTAATAATTGTTGCCTCGACTGCCACATGGGAAGCAGGTAATGTTTAAGTTCAGCAAGTATTTATTTGTTCAGCCCCTCAGCCAAAACCAGCAACCGGTGGACTGCAGTAATGGGATATTTAACTTGATGGATTTGAGAGTAAGCTTGGCTGTACCTGAAGTGAAAGAGCTGATTTATTTAGTTTGTTCAAACGACAGGAGAGAGTGTGTGTGTGTGTGCTTGTGTGTGGGGGTGGGGTCCTAAGCACCCCCTCTTATTAGGTGGTTATTTGCTGCCTTCATGTTCTTACTGTCCAATTCTGTTACTAGCACTAAGATGCTGACAGCCTTATGCCTCCAGCCTGATTTATCCTGATATATTGACCCTTTCTTGTGTCTGATCTTTAAAATATAATCTACCTAGTGGAGAAAGTCTTCCTGACATTCTTTTGGGACACACCTTTACAAATCACCATTAAAAACAGGGCCAACGGGTCCATGTTCTTTCATTTTACGAATTCGTATGTGCTATCTAAATGCTAATGAGCTAATTGATATTTGAAGGCATGAATAACGTCCCCCTCCCCAAAAAAGCCAGAAACTACAGTCTGCTGTCATCAAGATGTAAAGCCTGGAAACATTGTTGAGAGGATCGATTTGGAAGGGGTCTTTTTAAAAAAAAAAAAAGAAGCTTAAAATGTTGGAGGGGGGGCATCAAAACAAGTCTTTCAAATGTTGTTTCCAGGATTTACACACTGATGACATTGAAGTTATGCTAATTATAAGTAGCCTCAGCCAGAAAACTGGAGCTACATCAAACTAAGCGATTTCCAGTGCTGCACGCCAACGTTACAGCCCAGGAAATGTTGTTTTCCAAAACAAAAAAAATGTATGTTCAGTAGCCCAGTGCTTGTTTAAGCATCATTAAAGGTGCTTTGTTGTTGTAGGTCCACATAAAGGAAAACTGACATTGTTCTGTGCTTGCAGAAAATGAAGCCTGGCGCGCACCGGCGGACGTCATTCACATCCTGACTGCTTACAGCTGTTTCTAATATGGAGTAATCTGCTCTCTAAAATATTTATTTGTTTCCTTTCTTTCAGTTCAGAGCCGTCACTGAAGCTGTCAGACCACCGGCGGATATCTCCCAATCTATTTTCCAGCTGTGAGGATTTCTTCCTCGAGCTGTACGCCAAAAGGCAAATTCATTTGCTCTTCTCACTGACACTCTGAGATTTTCTATCATCGGCATCACTCGGGTCACTCATCCATTTGTTTTTTTCTTTACAGTCCAGCCATGTTTTGTTTTTTTTGGGCTACACATGTTTCCCAATTTGTGAATTCACCCTGAGAACAGATCATACATTCGACACATAGAAGCAGCAACATGCTGAAATTTGAGCGACCCGACTTCAATTTTTAATTCGTGAAATCCTTTTTATGTGGTTGATTCCCTAGTATGATGCCAAAAATGAAGATGCTGGAAAATGTTCACTAAGCCTCATGACTTTTTTTTTTTTTTAAAGAAAATGTAAAAGCACTTGTGTGGTTGAAGGCTTGCTTGGTTATTTTTTTTATTTTTATAGATTTGAAGACATTAGAAGTGAATCCAGTTTGTTACAGTGGGTCCTCAGTCACAACTGGGGCTGGAGTGGTTGATGCAAAGTTCTCATGTTATTTCCTGTGTCTAACAACAAATAATACAAATTTGGAGAGATGCTATATTCTGAAGGCTGCCTTTTTTTTTCATAGGAGTTTGTGCATCCCTCTTTATTTGTTTTTGAGGTGAGGACAGTGATGTAGGTACCATCAATTATGATAAAATGTCTGTTGTCACAGCTGATGACACACACATGACTAACACTAACATGTGTTTGAGTTTTTTACATCCTATTAAGAGACTACACTAAGCTCCATTTATTATCTGGCATCTACTGGACATACACATAAAGCAAAATGCCCTGGTATGCATGTACATCTGTGTGTCAGGTCCTCTTGTGTTTTGCTAGGAGTTACATTATATACTGTGCCTGTTTGAAACTGTCTGACCGCCTAAAAGAACCGATCTCCCCTCTGATTGCATTTACGTTAGCCTAACTGTTGCTCCACCCTCTGAAAGTCGACAAAGAAGGTATGAGATAACTCCTGCTGTAGAGTGTGCTTCACTAGTGCACATCCAGTAAGGTAAAAATTACGGTAATATCAGTACGTCTTTAAAATAAAATAAAATATGAAAAAGTGCCGGGGGAGCCCCAATTAACGCCCACATCTGTTTCTAACCTGTAGGTCGAGGGTTGAGGGCTGACCGTTGACTGGAGGGCTCCGAGTCAGACGGCATATAGGCTGCCTTTACAGTCACTGTGTTAGAGCAGTGCGCTGTCCGCGGTGCTGAAACCTGCTGATGAACGCGGGGATTCGCTTTCAGCACCAGTGCAAACGGGGAAATGGCGCAGACAGTAGCAGGGTGAGAACGAGTGCGGCTGGCCTGCTAGAGAGTGGAGGGGAAAGGCGTTTCGGAGTAGTTTTATTGTGTCTGCGAGGGCTGGAGTGGAATAAAGAAAAGAGAGAGGAAAAAAACCGAGCCGTTTGCAACACGTGAAAGCAGCACACGTCTCTTACATGACTTCAGTAAGGTCGCTGATTCTTAGATGATGGTGACAGTGTGGTGATCTGCTGTTAAACAAATTTCTCAGGTTTCTTTCTTTGCTTTTTGTTCTTCCTTTTCTTTTTTTTTTGTTAAGGGGGGGGCAAAAGAGCGGACTATGCTACTCTCGAGTCGTGGTGTTATTCCCGCCCGCTCCACAGACCCATACCACGGCAAAAAGGCGATGTTTGACTTCAAATGCCATATTTAGGAAAAATGCTCGGTCGCTTTGAGTGACTGGGGCGAGGACGAATGGCGTCTTGTGATCTGGGAAGAGACGCTCGAGCTCAGTGAGGAACGCCTCGGAGCCAATAGCATTGGAGGGCTTGTGCACGCATAAGCGGTGGATGGAGCTTCTCCGGGTATACTTCCGCGTCCAATGCATGTTCATGTGTAGGTTGAATGGATGAAACGGGGAGTGCGGAGAGGTATAGGCATGCTGTGATACGGCCCTATATATTTGCCGGCAGGACTATCTTCCTTTTAAAGAGAACCTCCTCCGTGCATTGGCTTCCACTCAGTGATGTCGCGTATTTGTGTGGCGCACCTGTAAAGAGCGAGACAGGCAGAAGCCGGCTTTTTTAATTATTTGATTCCTTTTCTTTCTTCTGTTATCTTTTTTTCCCTTTTGTTTCATGCATTTGCTGAAAGGAACTCATTTCTGTGTTTTGATTTAATAAATATTTCATTTCCCTCATTTTATCTTGTTTGTGTTGGCTTTTTATGTTCCCAAGTTTGAACTAAAGAGAGCGGAATTCGTCATTTTACACGCTATTGGCCAGGTGTTTTCATTCAGAGATTGTTTGCCTAAGGACGTCCCTAACTTTCATTTGTAGAAACGGTAAGATATTTTTTACACATTTGCTCATTCACCTGAAACATGTGAAATCGATTTCTTCTTCTTTTTATTATTATTACTAAGCCTGTTTCTGTTCGCTGAGGACAGTGTGTAGAGCAGATCATGCATTCACTGTAGTCTCAGGCTGTCTTATTGCATGCAGACGCGATGGGGAAAGTCGCCGTGATGCATTCATGTTTCCCCACTCAGGGCTGATTTTCAACTCTTGAATCGCGGTGGCTTGGCATATAGGAGAGACTTACAACAGGCTTTCTCCGCACATGTGCTCAATTTTTTCTCTCTCCTTCCTCCCCCCCACCCCCTCGACATGCATGGACGCACTATTGCTCTAGTGTGCAGAAATACAGGCCTTGTAGAGAGCTGAAACGTGGGATCCGCATAGTAGTCGTTACACTGTATCCAAAGGTAGAAATGTGGGGTGTATTAGACTGATGTTACATATAGAAATTAATATTACTGGATACATGATGGAGCCAGTAAACAAACTAACAAAATTTAAGCTGTTTGATCTTAGACTTGAGCTCTTTCATTAATATAAAAACTTGCGATTTTATTTAAGCTCTAAATTATAAAAGAGAAAAAAGCGGGTCCAAATACAAATGAGATTTAAAATTAATGAGTGGTGGCTTTATTTTTTTTCTGTCTTTCTAATTTAATCGTAAGATGGTCTGTAAGGTTTAAGATGCAGCGTAACTGCAAAAAGACCAATGCTATATAGGTTAAGTGCAGCCGGGTGTTGTGCTACTTAGAGTTGCCGGATGAAGTTCTGCTATCACATGCATATTCCTATGCTATTTTTGAATTTCCATGCAGCGCTTATTTGTGAAGAATACAGGAGCTTAGCTACTCGTCCCAATTTTTTAGAAAAAACAAACACAAAAACCCAAAGCGATCCTAACCTTTGTCAGCATTCCTGTCTTTTGCCCTTTTTTGTCTTTAAATATAGGCCACCTATATATAAATTCCATGCCCATATGTTTGCTCTGCATGGATAACAATGGAGATGCTGAAAACTTAAAATATATATAAAATGTTTATGTTCACGTCATCGCTGGAAAAGGCTATCTGTTAAAATTAGCTGATTACCCTACAAAGAACCCTAGTGGCACAATGTTGTTTTTGTTTATTTGGTTTTATTTTATTTTGGAGCTGTCGCTATTTCTTAGTTGTAATTCTCCTCTGTGCTGAGCGCTGTTTAAAGCAGCAGCCTACACCTGCAGCAAATCAATTAATCGTCTATTTCCGGTATAGAGAGGGTGGGTCTGCGCTGATTGGCCAAAAGTCTGATTAGTTTATTTAGGGTGGCTGGGTTCCCGCCACCGCTCCTTATTCTGCTGCGCAAAGACTGTGACCAAGTTTGATGTCTGCAGGTTGTACCGCAATAAATTCCCGCGACGCCGATTCAACACATCAAGGTAAGACAAGTCAAAGTGTTAGCGTGCTTAAAAACAAAGAAATACTAACTGTAAAAAGGGGTCAGAGCTGTTAGCTAGGCCAGACATGCTAGCTGAGCGCCATTAGAAGTAGTTTTGACTTGAGTAAACTTTGCCTCTTGTAACCTAACCTTAAAGCTTCTTAAGTTAGTGGGGTAACCTAATTAGTTTGGTCTACAAAATAAAATTGTGTGACCAAAAAAAAAAAGACGCTCTAAAGCCCCTCCATCACTGGCAGAGGTTGTGTTAGCTAAACCCGCTCGGCTAAACCACAATTAGCAGAAAATGGAAGTTTCACCCGGATTAAACGCTCCACCTCTAACCGCTTTCTTTCGTAGCGTAATCTGTAAGTAGTCACGGTCTTTAATTGGATGAGCTGGGTTTCAGCACCGCCACAGGTGTCACAAATTAACCTAACATCACTGGGTTGCGTTCACTTGTTCCCGGTGAGATGGCTTCACTTCACTGTAGAAATGCTTTACTAACAGGAATTTAAGTTCAGTTGGTTTTAACAGTGGCCTTTGCCTATAAACACACAAAGCCTAAAAACATAACCCCCGTCACCCATTGTTTTTGGGATTTTTTTCCGTATCTAAGTGACTTATAATAATATAAGTATATTTTTTTTACACAGGCAAATTGCTAGCTGTAAGGAGTCCTATGTATTTTCAGAGTGATTAAATTATTGCCTGATCTCATTGCTAGTAAACCTTGGATTATTTTTGGGTGATACGCCGGTCAAAGTAAAGAGCCTGGTAATTTTGTCTTTGTAAGCTTGACCTGTTAAGACTTGGAATTGCGGCAAATGCGTTTTCACTCTACTTTGTACTTTGTGTGGCCTTGAATATTGATTGAGTGAATCTGTCGAAGCCACAGGCATCGTGGTGAGTAACCTTCAGCTGTGAGGTCACGAAAAGATTACATATCATGGAGTCAGCAGCTAAGAGCCTGACCGGGTAATTTACCAGAAATGCAGGACATCTGTGGCTAGGGGAATAGTCAAAAGGAAAGTGACATCTTGAAGCTTTCAGTTTTAGTTTTGGTTTTTTTTTTTTGTTTTCCTTTTTAAAATTTTTTATTTTATTTTATAAAAAGGAGGTCCTTAGTGATTATTAAACCTTATATGCGATTAACAGATGAAAAATCAGTTGTCTATGCTGCTTTTTGTCTGGGCATCCGAATAAATGCAGTACTACAAAATAATGAAACGCTGTGGGGGGGAATTCATAATTTCTCTAACAGAAATGCTTCTCCCCAATCATGCTGCATTTTATTTTGTTCTTAGTTGTACTGGCTGTAAGAACACTGTTCGCTGCACAGTGATTGCACTTAATTTTTCTGATATCAGTGGTGTTGAACACCGCTCAGGGGATATTAATTCAGATGAAGTGTCACGGCAGATCTAATCATAGGTATGTAAAAGATAGCTGCTGCTTTTAGGCATTTTTCCCCTTCCTCTCTGTTCGTGCAACGTCCACAGCTTCAGCAGCCTTCCTGAGGACAAGAGATAAGAGCGGTTGTCTTTATGTATTATTGAGCCCCCACGTCTGCCTTTCTAAATAAAGGCTGCTGACAGAGTGACTAAAATGCAGGACAGTGAGTGAACTTCCAAAGGCCACATATCACTGTGCTCTGCACGGCGATGTGTGCTGCTGTCAGAACTGGGTTAGTATACAGCGTGTAGCTTTGAGGAGAAAAGCAATTTTGCCCTCTTTGTCCTCCTTAAATGTCCGTCCCATCCCCCTTCCATGACTTCGTTGCCTAACGCCCCCCCATTACAACCCCCCTTGCTGCTGAGACAGGCTAAGGCTCTGTGGCTTTTGCACTTACTGTGTGTTGGCCACAGGGTGGCCCTCCCCAGTATGTGCAGGTCATTACTGGAGATCAGCAATGCATTGTCCTTGAACCCTGTTACTGCTTTGTCAGGCCTGGATACAGTAGGTGGGGTTTTTGTGTGTGTTGAGTGCTTTATGTAATTTAACTGTATTGTCTGCAGGCCTGTTTCTGGTAGTGGAAATATGCCTGGTTTTGTGTTAGACGTGTGATTTGGATATTGGTGAACTGGATTCATGAAGGATTTTTTTGTTTAATTAAAGTGTTTTGTTTTTTTACTCTTAGTGGTTTTAAGTACCGACTTGGATTTCAGCAGTCTCACTAGTATGTGTGTGGTTTTTCTTTAATTTACAAGTATCATGGTGGATTATTCTTGGAGCACAGGAACAGTTTTTCCTTAATGACTTGCACACTTTAAAATATAATGGCAGATAGTCCTATTATAGTACTGTATATTTTGTTACAGGAGGTTAGACTAATTCCACTCGTTCAACAATTATAAAATTGTCAAACTAAATTAAAGAGTCAAATGGTAATCTGTACCTTGTATAAATGTTTTATTGTACTGCTTTTATTGTACGGCTGCACGTTTTTTTTTTTTCTAATTTCATACCTAAAGATAGTAATAACAGACTGGCAAATATGAAGAATCATAAGCATCGACATATTGATGTTTGTACTCTAGCTCCCAAGCAGCACAGAGCATGAAATATAAAAATGCCTCTGGTTAGGATTTCTGAATAAGTCAATACTGATGAACATGTGTTGCAGTCTCTTGAGCAATATGAACCCAACTGAATTTTATTTCAGCCAAATTCTGCATTTTTCAAATAACGTTTTCTTCTGAGATTGCAGGATTATTGACTTTTTCCAAAAGTGTTGGTGAGAAATTGTGCGCTTGTAATCTTGGAGGCACACTGCCAATTATAACTCAGTTGCGTCACATTTCAGTATTACTGTGACATGCTCTGGCTGGCATGGGGAAAATGCTGCATAAATACCCTTTTCTCAACCTTAGGACAATCATTACAGAAGTAATAAAAGTTCACCTATAAAGATGCTTCCCCTCCTTATCCTTAAGTTAAACTGCATTGAAAGCTGGTTTGCCAGTAAGAACACACACAGCAAAGACATAATGCAGCACTGCAGTTTTTTGAGATGTGGACTACGGAGCAGGACAAGAGGCTGGAGTGATCATGTTGGGCTGTGAGGTGACAGTGTTAATTTATCAGCAAAATTGATTGGATTTCAAGGAAATAAGTAGACCAGGGGCAATATGTCCAAGTAGTAAAATGCATGTATGTGCTTAATTTGGTAGGTGATGTTTTTGGCTATATTCTTTTTGTCAAGGACCATACAGCCTCTGAGTAACAAACCACATGAATAATGCTGCGCATGTGCAAACAGCTGCTTCACCTAACCCAAAACACACAGAGGTGTGTCTCTGGAGGGAGAGCTGGGACTTAGAAGTCGCTGCATGTTTTATTTATTTATTTATTTTTTAAATATAGATGTATGCTGTTGATTATAAGGGAGAAAGTTGCTAGGTTGGCATTGGTGAGGTGAACTGAGACGTGAGGATTACTGCTGCGAGTGAGAGGGATGTCAAACACCACATAAGAAAACAAATTACTTGATTTTTATTTTTTTCCAGGTAATCTAATACCTAACCAATAAATAAAAATAGTTGAATAAAACATCTACATTTTCTCATCC